CCCGTGTGTGTTAGCATGCTGGTGAAAGACCTACGCTGTCCAGTGATGGGAAATAGAGCTTGGTTGCTGACACAGCACTGAGTAGACACAGCCTCTGTGTGTGTGTGTGTGTGTGTGTGTGTGTGTGTGTGTGTGTGTGTGTGTGTGTGTGTGTGTGTGTGTGTGTGTGTGTGTGTGTGTGTGTGTGTCAGAGAGGATCCAGTTCTAAGACTGGTGTGTGTGCTGGTGGGAGCGATGGAGACTGTTATCCATGTCACATCCAGTTAGACGACATCTGCAAACACGTCTGCGTTAGTGTGTGAGCGCTGAAGTAAGAGGAAGCTGTCAGCGCCAGCCGCCGTACGTTCACTCAAACCGCAGACCCAAAGCAGCTTCTGTCAGCAGAAACGACACAACCTCACACTCTGCAGAGGTTACAGAAAATAGTATGAATGCACAAATGGATGCAGTGACTGACACGGTGGCAAATGAAATTTATTCCCAAGACGACTGCTCAGTGTGTGTGTTTGTGTGTGTGTGTCCAGATACTGTAGGCTACTTCCTTTACAATCTGGTTGACAACATGTCAGAGGGGCAGGTGCAGGAGGACAAACTGCGGCATCTCTTCAATAAGCTACAGGCGCAGGTACACACTCATGAACAGGTCTCCCCACACTCGCTTCTGTCATCCCCTCCTGACTTAGTGTGCTTGTTTTATCTAAATATTGAGATTTCCATCTATTATCTGAAAAGCAATCAAAAAGAGGCAGAGATCAGGAAATTAATTAGTCTCAATGGGGAAAGTAAATCAGATAAATTACAATGAAGAGAAATTCAATCACTTACAAATTAACCATGTTCAGCTGTTTGGGTCTTTAGGTTTTCCCAACAAATTATAAATGTCTAAATCTCTGACTTTACAACTCATAACTACAGATTTAGAAGGTTAAAATGTTTAGAAATTCTCTCTCAATTGTAATAGTTTATTTATTTACATTATTAAATTATTTTTATAGTTTTTGAATGTTTGTTTCTACACAAGAGCCAAGATCCCTGTGGATTTAAAATGGATTTTTTTGTTAATGTGCACGTTTTAATTAATTTAACTAAAAATGTCATCAAATAAATTTGATCAGTGTTTCAACTTTCTAAATGAAAATATATTCTTATTTGTAGCATAATGTAATCCAAATTTCTAAGCTTACAAAGATGTAGTTAGACACCAAATGCAGTTCAACAACACTGGGTTTAGGTTTAGCTTATTTAAAAACGTTTGGTTTTTTAGCTTAATGTTGGTGTTAATTAGCTTTTGATTTAAGTTTTCCGTTCTGTTAATAACTAAATCTTTTCTGTATGTTTCCTTTTTATTAGAACGTTACCATTCCACTAAACATCTACAGAGGAATTAAGAATCTTCTAGAGTCTCATCATGTTCCTGAACTCCTCAAGGTACACACTCCCTCTCTTTCCTCCCTTTGGTCCCAAACATAGCTCCATGATGTAGTCTTAGGTGATATACACATTATATTTATAAAATAAACACTTAAGAAAACATAAACACCCAATTAATGTCGATGCTTATAAGTGTGTGTTTCTCAGGATGTGATGGCTTTGGTGGATCTCACAGAAACGGGGTCAGATGGGTCGGCATTAGCTCCTCATCGTGCCACGGTAGGTAGGACAGATCTAGAACGCATAAAATGATGTTTAGAAACTAATTTGACAGAATGATCCGCCTAAATAAAACCTGTAATATGTTATAAAAGATCTAACGTCTTATTTTCTCCTTCAGGGACTCGAGAACAATGTTTCGGTGCTTGAGAAAAAACTGGCGGAACTGGTTGCAGAAAACAAACCGTTAGGATCAGTTCTTAGAAACATCATCCATGCTCTGAGTGCTGAGGAGGTAACCCGGTCTAGTGAGACTGTCTGTTTTCTGGCTTTCGATGCTTGCTCGGGCCTTTATTTTTCTCATGGCTCTGTTGCCTGATCAGAACCTGCAGCGCGCCCTGGAGCTGAAGCAGCAGCACGAAGAGGAGATGACGGCCGGGGCTTACGCCACCCTCATCAACCTGTGCTGTCGCCTCAACAATGTAGAGGAGGCGCTCAACCTGAAGAGGGAGATGTGAGTGCAGTAGGAAACACACACACACACACACACACACACACTAGGCTGCACTGCGGTCAGTAGTAAGCCATTAAAGTTTAACTTGAGTGGTATTAGGGGAGACATTAATGCAGGGTCCAGCCGCTCTGTTGGTTAACTGAAACACAGGAAACTCTCCCCTCTTCCTCCCTGATTTCCTCCCCCTCCTCCTCTTTCACCACCTGCTTCCAGCATCTGACTGAACTTTGACAACGTCTAATAGATGAGCCGCATTACTGTTGGATTGCATTAATCAAAGCTCCCTCTCTTTTTCCATGTCTGCTTTCAGGAGTCGTAAGGACTCATCGGTGGCGCTGGATCCTGCTAAATACCTCGCACTGGTCAGGACGCTCGCTTTAAATGACAGAGTTGAGGGTAAGTTCCTCCGAGCTGCAGAATTTTGTTTGGCATTTCGTTGAATGGCAACTTAAGGCCAATTTATTTAATCCTAAAAGTGCAAACCAAATTTTCTCTAATCTATTGCAGATTTAAGTATTGTCCTTCTAAATTAATTAACCAACCCCTCTCTTTATGGTGTTCATGTTCAAAGCCCCATGCCTCTGTCTGTGTGTGTGTGTGTGTGTGTGTGTGTGTGTGTGTGTGTGTGTGTGTGTGTGTGTGTGCTTCATTTATTATGTGTAGTCACCAACCCTGCCTCAATCTTTCTGGCTCCCTGAAACCATATTAGCGGGCCATTTTCAGAATTCTACGGTGGGTTTCCTTCTGCCCATCGAAGACCCAATTACCATCAGTTTTGCTGCTCTGCTTTTTTGCATCCACTGACAGGCGAACTGTTTCCCTTGTCTGTTCTCGTCTTTCCTCTCCTCCCCTCATCACTTCCTCTCCATTTCTGCCTCTGTCTCTCTATCCGACCCTCTTTTCTCATCCTTCTCAAAGCTTGTCATTGTCTTGCCCCCACCCCCCCCACCCCCCCACCCCCCCACACACACACACTGACACGTCAGTGCGAAATGAGAGAGGGGGAAAATTACAGGACTGTGTGTATTTTTCCAGAATTATTGAAATCTGCCTTCATGCTAATGGCAGATCATGTCCGCCAAAGTGCTTGAACATCACACACACACACACACACACACACACACACACACACACACACACACACACACACACACACACACACACACACACACACACACACACACACACACACACACACACACACACACACACACACACACACACACACACACAAATTTGCATGTGAATTCATGCAAAAGGCATTTGGTGGCACAACGTTTGGTGTGTGTGTGTGTGTGTGTGTGTTTGGGTGTGTATAGGCAGCGCTCAATGCATTTGCCATTAGCCAGAGTGCGCATATGGAGGCAAGGCTTGTCAGCCACATTAGCACACATGGCTAACCTTGATGTTAGCCTGTCCCCACCCAGACGCTGGGCCGCCTGGCTCCCAGCACACACCAGGCCCAGCTGAAGATCATGTCTCCTGGCATCTCGCTTTGTTTCTCGCCAGCTTATAATGGTTTTGTTGTTTTTTGCTTTTGCTTCAAATCCTCCCATCCCACCTCTGCTCTGTTTTTGCTTTACTTTACCCTTGATTTCATTCTTTTCACAACTTTTTTTTACCACCTTAAATCCGCCTTGTGGACAGCTTGTTTCAGGGGTTAAGAGTTCACCCTGTAATAGATGGTTTGCCGATTTGAACCCAGGTTCAGTCTGTGTCGGTCCTTGCGTCCTCAGTAAAGTAATTTCTCCCTCCTCGCCTGCTGGTGGTGATCCGAAGTGGCCAGTGGCGCCTTTGTACCACAGCCTTGCATCTGTCGGTGTGCCCGAGGGCAGCTGTGGCTACAATGCAGCTCCTCACCATCAGTGTATAAATGACTGACTGTAGTGTAAAGTGCTTTGAAGTCCTCTGACTCATTAAGCACCTTGGGGGTTGTAGAGGCCTACACTGTAAAATAAAACATATTGTTTCAACTTAAAAATACGAGTGAAAGGGCTGCATTAAAATTTTGAGTTAAATGAAAAAACAAAATTTGTTGTCTTAACATTACCATATTTTATCCCAAATTAAACTCTCTTGTTATACCAACATGTTTTTAAGTTAGTTTAATTTATAATCAAGAGTTGATTCAACTTCTTTTAGTTTTTTTCACTTTAACCACAATTAATAATTTTACGTTGTCAAAACTAGTTTGGGTATTGAGAGAACTGACTGGTACAGTCCGTGTAATCCATAAATGTATGTTGACTCAATTTTAAAGTATCAATTCATTTGGAAGAAATGTTTAAGTCAACTTAACTAAATAATTTAAAACATTTGCCATATCGAAAAAAGATGGGGGCACTGTATATTGGAAATTTAAAACATTCATATGATTAATTTATGTACATTTCACACAAAATGATCCATTTAGTGATAAATTTCACCTCCAAAAACAGAAACAATACAAACATGTTCATCAACTCAGCTAGTTTTTTTATTTATTTAGCAGTAATGAAGTTACAGCTCTGCAACATTTACTGAAGCTGTTTTGTTTTGTAATGAATAGTGAAAACTTTTTAGAACAGTCTGCACTCAAAAAGGACATTAATAAACACAGCAGCTTATCAAGGTCTTATAGTTAGAACATATTTAGTGTCTTAAATGAGACAAGTCATTGCACATTAACTCAAGTGCATAAACTTTTAAAGCATCTGACAAAACCTTGCACAAATAAAAACAATAAAATAAAATTCTAAATGATACTATTCAAAATAGTAGTTCTAAACAAATAGTGCACATTTTAATCTTGTCATCTATCGTTTGGTCTTATGTTGACCTCTTTATTGCAATACTTTTTATCAACCTATGCATTTGATTGGCTTTGAACCAATATGACTATATTTTCTGATGGAATAAACCTAAACAGATGAAATAACAAAACAAGAATTCCAAACCATGTGCCAAACTTCTATATGACCTTTGGAACAATGTTTAACAGGAAACGTTGAATGCTTTCAAAAAGCTCAGACATCCATGAGTCATGAGATGAGACATTTCAGGAGAATCTACATGGTTTTTTGTAACAGTCTGTTTCTCAAACCATGCACAAGGGAGGAACACTGACCTCCGCCGATGTTCATCAGGACCTTTTGAAAAACTTCAAATGTGTACCTGAGTTCCTTTGGATAGTCTATATTAAAGGCAAAAAGCAGACCCATCAGTAGAGCAATGGCATGAGGAATGTCCTCCACATCAGGCAGGACCACTTGTTCCTCAAGAATGACTGATGTGGCAATGATGTCCTCTCCATCTTTCACCAGCAGAACTCCAACTTGCATTCCCCGAGTGAATGTGGCTTCCTCGTCAATGGCCTACACAAGTTATAAAGCAAATTACTCACTATGACCCCTTGCAATATCTGGATAATTCTACAGACAACCTTGTTAAAAGGAGACTAGGCAGTTTTGCTTGTTTTTAGTGCCCCCTGGTGTCTGTCTGTGGTCAAAGCAGAATTGAAACGTATCTCCTCGCTGTGAGTTTGCCCTTTTAAAGGCATACTTTGCAACTTTTTCATATTTCAGGGTTTCCCCCAGCGCTTAGCAGGCTTTGTTTGCCCACCCGCCAGGCTAAGCGTCATGCCCCGCCCCCCTCCCCGACCGTGTCCGCTGACACGAACGGCACAACGGAGCTAGAGTCCTCCATCAGCTGATACTGGTGAGAAACAGCAGCGGAACGTGTGCAACGCCCCCATCCCCCCTCTCATTGAGGAGAGCTGCAGAACAGAGGGCGGTAAAGGTTGGTTTATGCTTGACGTGTCCGCACAGCTCCGCGTGGAAAAGTTGCGTCATTTTAACAACCAGGCCCCTCCACCGCATCTCCACACAGCCCAAAATTTCCGCAACGCGCACCTAGGAAAATTTCTAACCACGCGGACGGTTGGACGCGTAAAAACATGGCGGACCGGCAAGAACCAATATGGCAGAGGTTCATAAATACAGACATTTGTATGATTCAGCTCTCAGAGATCACCGTGATCAACTTGTTGTTAATAATTCTTGGAGAGAAATAGCTCGCACTGTCGGAAAAGACGAGGACGCTGTTAAAAATGCTGAAATGCCGTGTTGTAAACAGTAATTTCTACTTCTACTATGGTGTAGTTTTGGATGCATGCCGTAGAGCTCCATGCTGCCCCCTACAGTTTGGGAGAACATTGGCTCACCGCAGAGACAAGCCGCATGGACCATAAACGCTGCAAGTTGTGAAGCGCGTTCCATCCGCGAGCCGCATCACCAAGCGGAAAGTGAATGCGTCAAGCATAAACCAAGCTTTAGGGTCTGTGTGACATTTCATCACCCCAGCAAAGGTTCATTTTAGCACATACTGGCTCCAGAAAGTGATTTAATAATGTGAAAAAGTTGCATAGTATGGCTTTAAAACCCTTCTTTATATAACTACATCTAATATCACATCACTACTTTCACTTATAAAGAAATTGTTCACAGATCATTTTTGATACAAATGCTCACCTGAACAGTCTTGAATGCATTTGAAGGATCATCCTTGAGAATATACAGAAGGCACCGGAAGAACAACTGACCTCTGCCTCAGCATAGAGGACTGAGAAAAAACAAAGACAAAACAACTAATTATAAAGAGAATAACAAATTATTGATATCCTGATTCTTTTATTCTGTTTTCTATACTCAATTGATTAGTTGGACATTTTCACTTCAAATTCTTCTTACAAACCTGTACTGCAATAGAAGTCTGCTACAGAATTTGTTTTGACTGACAGTTTTTCTGTTTTTGTTTTATTGGGAGGGGGGATTTGGCAGCCTTTAGCCATTTTTTTTTTATTCTAAATACTATAGCTTTTGGAATAGAATTTTTCTGATAAGTTTTTCCAGCTCTGACCTATCACTATAGGAAAGCTACCGGGGTTGTGGTAATTTTGTGTAGAAACATGCTTTTTTTTTTGCTAAATTTACACAGGCAGATTGTCTCAAAGATAATTTCAATTTGATGGATTTCCTAAAAGGCATGACTGAATTCTATTCACCCAAAGACAATAACCCAACAAAATGTTAACATAATTTTCTTCTTCTCTGTATTAGAAAATAGAAAATACTGTTAAATACTGAAAACCGGTAAAACTGTAAATAATCTCCAAAGGAAATGTTACTAATACTAACAAAAATATGTGAACATTTATTTGCTTACGTCATCATCAAGACATTTAAGCTGCCTGCTTAGTCCAGCTGATTTCCCACTCTTGGCCTTGAACAGCTCCAGGAACCTTGGCAAATGCTGATCCAGTCCACTGAAGAAAGACTTCTTGAGGTCAACAGATGTCAGCCGAGCAAACTCTGCTTCAATCTGTAATTGAAGGTGACAACAACAAAATTTGAAACTTT